CCCCAAAACCCCAAAACCCCATCAACAATAATTTCAATTGAGTTCGAATTTCTCATTTATATAATTCAAAAATTAAACATTAATAAAGAAGCTAAACTAGCTATCATAAGACCAGTTTTAATAAGAAAAGCGTTTGAGCAATATGAGTAAATCTCGCTGAAAGTTGGAAGGTATTGGAAAAGATTTGCCATGCAGTCTAAAGTGTTAGCATCAATCATTAAAACATAGTTTTCAGCTTTTAATTTGGCACACATCCAAGAGTTAAATAGAGATTTCTCAGAGCATTATTGCCATCTTGCATCTGTATTACAATTCTCTCTAGTTGCTTAAAAATATTCATTAAACTTTGTTCGAACATCAACCCATTCATCATCTCCTGGTAATAGGTCACAATATTTAGTTTTGTCTGTGTTCCAACCACATTTACATTTTGCATATGTAACTCCATCGCTAGAGGGACAATCTTCATCAACTTCACACGTTTATCCTTTATTCGTTGATTTCGTTCCTTCACTGCAAATTCCAATTGAATTTGCATATTATGTCTTACAGAGCAAGTGTGAATCCTCATTTACAACTAATAAATAAAGTATGAAGTAATAATGACTTACCAGCATAACTATCTATTTTCTATGTCACATTAATGGCAGCTCCAGTTTCAATTTGCATGTATTAGGTGCATACTCCTGTGATTGAATTGGCATCATAATAGAAACAAGTAGCTGATCTGCCACATTCATTCCTATGGAAGCAGGAGTCTCCAATCTTTTTGAAGTTAGTACATTTGCCCATGTTGCAATATTGGTAAGGAGTGCAATCAGCACTTTGAGAGCATTCTCCATCATGGCCAACTGATACACAAAATAGATCATCTGAGCATCTAATTTATTTATATAAATGTTTAATAACTTACTTCTACAAACCATAAGCGCAGGTTGATTTGAAGTCATTTTACTTGCAAGGATCATTTGGATATAGAGGAGACGGAAAGATATAATAGTTCTTTTGCTTGCAAATACCAGAAAAGTCTGAATTAACATCGCAATACTCTAACCTCTCTATAAATTATTTTGGTGAAAATATATGTACTTACAACAACTATCTGAGAGTGTGATTTTAAGCTCAAGATCAGACTTATCAGTGCATTTTCCTTCGAGAGTATCACATGATACAGAGTAGCATTGAGTGGTTTAACTAGATGCAGCTTTTGAAGTACTTGCAAAAATCGTCAAAATAATTATACTGCTTTTTATAAATTTCATTTTATAATAATTAAAATAATTTGATCTATATTTAAAATGGTATTTCTATTGAAATAATTATTGCCTTTAGAGTACTTTGGCTGCAGCAAGAGCAGATAACTTTTATTATCCTACAGACTGGGATCCTTCCAAGGTACCATCATTTTTAAACAATATATTTAGGGAAATATCACAAAATTCCATGAGTAAAGAAGGAAAGGACTAGGAGGTTAAGCAGTATAAAACCCTGATCGTAAAAAGAATGACATGTCTTAAGGTGCTCCTAAAATTAGATTTGAAATGATGTTTAACGTCAGATGCTTAAAATGCCAGAATTCAATTGGGAAAGGAGTCAGATTTAATGCTCAAAAGAGAACTGGTAAGAAGCTCCTATCATTTAAGCGTAAATTGATTAATTTTATCTAGTTGGACAATATCTATCAACTAAAATTTATGAGTTTCAAATGAACTGTCACCTCTGTTCTAACAGATTAGTTGTTAGAACAGATCCTAAGGGATGTGACTACATTCTTTACAGTGGACTCGAAAAAAGAGTAAATTTATTTTAAACTTGATAATTTTACTTTTAGCCTGAGGATTTAAAATCTGATGAATAGGCAGCAAGTGAAAACCCAGAATAGTAATAACTAGCTTAATCTTAGATTGATTAACACAAAAGAAGAGAGCTTATTGACAATAATGCATTCTATAAATTGGAAAATGCCAATGAGGATAAGTTAAGAGCTGATGCAGACATTCCAAGACTATAAAAAATTCTAGAAATCAAGCAAAATAATAAAGACGACTTTGAATGGAACAAATTACTCAGGAAGAGAATGAGAGAGAATAAATAAGAATTGATTGAATTAGAAAAGGAACAACAGAAGCCTAAGAATTTCGGATTAGAAATGATCAAAACTTTGGAGGAGAAAGACTAAGAAAGAGTTAATCAAATAAGAATGTATCAGAGTACTAATAATTACAGGAAGCATAAAATGATAGCTCGAGATGACATAAAGCGCCAATCTATATTTGATAAGGAATGCAAAATAAATGATACAGTGTAGAAGTTGCCTATTGATATTAGAACTAAAATACAGAAAATGGCGAATTCTAATAAGCAGTAGCTAAGTAAAAAGGAGGAGGATTAGAAAAGTAAAATACTCAAGCATCTTGACAGAATAAATAAGTGAACCAGAATTCTAGATTATTTTAGGTATGTAAAGTATATTTTTAATTTCTTAAAATTACTGAAATATGTCAAATTGCTCATGAGGGGTTTTGGGGTTTTGGGGTTTTGGGG